TGGTACACTAAATCCAATAAGTTTCAATTTATTTTTATTGAGCCTTACACTATATAATAACAAAAGGCAGACTTAACACTAAAAGAAGAAAAACTATCAATTACTTTGTTATTTTCTTCTCTCGTCTATTTCTACTCGTATAATAGTGTGCACAGTACGTCAAATTAATTATTGTACGAGTATACCTCCTTATTGAGTAAACAAACTTGAAAATGTTCAATTTTGTTCAATCAAACTACTGTTACTGTTATAACAAAGTACCCGAACTTATCACATCATAATAAATACAATAAATGTATAAACTATAAACATTGTTTACATTTAACTCATAGAGTAAATAACTAGTTACACACGTAATTATCTATTATATTCCCTCCTCCTATAATATACGACATGCTACTGTACTATATGCCCTCCTTTCTATTCTGTTTTTCTTTCGGCATGTTAATATAAACATTTTAACATAACAACTGAAACTGCTTTAATACGTTTTATTAATAATAGCAATAGTGTACGACATTATATTCAACAATTATGTTTTCTTTGATTATGGAATCGTACTGGATTATCCTTTATAATAATTTGGAAAACTTTGAATAAAACTATTTTAGGTATTTTATCGCATTCTTAATTAATTATTTGACATCGTTTTATATTATATACATAACAAATAATTAGTCAGATTATTATTTATTTACATTACACATTACATCGCGAGCAGGCCGGGTTCAGTCTCCGCCGGCACCAATATAATTGTTAATTACAATTTTAAGTGCTGATTTACCACGTGCTCGGTGGCAGTGGCGTAGCAAAGGGGGGGGCACCGGGTGTCACCTTTTGGGGGGTGACACCCATCCGGTCTCTCAACTTTAACAACAATGTACGAACAAAAAAAATCGCTAGCACAAAACTTTCATTTTCGGGGATTCCTCCACTAGAACTAGCTCAGCTCTATGTATAATTCGAGGATTCCTGCAAAAGAGCCTGATGCTGTCGTGGGGGATGTCCCGTCCCACACTCACGATCTTTGACGTCTCAGTTGCAACTGTTGTTCATGACGGTTTGCGTGTCCGTAGCTTCATGTGAGAGGAGTTTCAGTAAATTAAAATTAATAAAAAACTATTTGCGGGCAACAAGGACCCAATCGCGGCTTGGTAATCTTGGTATATTAGCCATCGAACAAGAGGCAATACAAAATATAAATTTCGATGAAGTTATTGCTGACTTTGCAACTGTCAAAGCTAGAAAAAAGAAATTTTAATTGTATAAAAATTCCTTTTCTGTCTTAGTTGTTATTGTGTTTTGTTATTTCTTCAATATTATAAATAATAATAATAATAATAACAATGGCGTAGGGAATTGACGACCCCATCGCCCGCTGACGTAACAGTTAAGTAACAAAACTGCTACGTCAACGCAATCAGTCAGCGCCTTGCGAGAGGTGTGAGCGCCGTGCCTCGGCAGAATTCAGGGTGCAAAGGCCCGTTTGTGCTTATGGCCGTCCACGATACGGTGCCGGGCCTGGGCGTCTCCCGTTAATGGACGCCCAAATTATGGATGATGGAAAAAAGATAGTGCGCAAAGGGCCGCTGCCTGGAGGTCGCCAGGACGCGTCTGGAGCTGGCGCTGGACGCGATAGCATGCGGACCGCCAGCCGAGCGCGGGGTGTTGCAAGACCACCTAGCAGCCCCCCGCATCCATCATCCCCACCAGAAGGCTTGGTGTCGGCTGGGTCTTCTCGGACTCAGCAAGCGGCACCCGCCGCTGGTGGAGCACGTCGCATGCGTTGGTCAAAATTAATGAATGCAAACGCACTGCGGGCGTATTTTAGGGCAAAAGGGGAAGAAACTGGATGTTTGGCGTATCGGGCTCGGATGCATCGCTTTTTTGCAGAGCTGGAGCCATCTCTATCCGTCACTGAGCAAAACCTGGCAGACCGAGTTCGGTACATCCTGCGCTCCAACATATTTGGTGACGCCGAACTCGATCGACTACGACGTGAGGCTATTCCTTCATCGAATGGAAATGCTACGGCTGGAAATGCGGTGCCACTAGATGCGCAACAAACTGCATCTGTGGATGCTGCCGTCAACATTCCATTTGTGGCTAATTCAGACGATGATGGAATAGTCTCCCACGAACTAGAGAAAATGAGGAGCATATTGGAAGAGTCGATGCTGGAAATGTGTGCAGCATGCCTCTCTAAAATCGACCGCGACTTTCCCGCATACCCCTTAGCAAGCGAAATCGGGCTGTAGTGCGGGCTCTTAACCCAATGCTGGTGACCTATTTGGAAGCCAGCCGGGACCTTTGCGAGACGGACTCAATTCTTTTTGGCACCGCATTGGCAGTATGCCGTATTATTGGTGCCAAACTTCCCGTGGCTGGACGTGCTACTCAAAAAAGTAGCGCCATCCTAGCCTGGATAAAAAGAATTGAGGACCGTATCGCAAAGGCAAGGGCCCTTATCGGCAGACTGACAAGCTTCAGGTCGGGTAATAATAGACCGAGAGTTGTGCGCACCGTTAGAATGGCGTTTGCTGGGACAGTTGGAGACTTCCTCGAGCAGTGTATGGTGCAATGGAGTACGATCCTTTGCTATCTGGGCGAGCGGATGACGGCTGCGTAGAACCACATAAGGATAAGAAGGGGTATCTTCCAGGGCGATTGTCTGAGTCCCATCTGGTTTTGCCTCTCTCTGAACCCTCTCAGTACTTTACTAGAGGGCTCCGGGAGGGGATTTCAGCTTCGGAAAGGAGGTACAAAAGTGACCCACCTTTTCTATATGGATAAACTCAAGTTATTCGCCTCCAGTCGCTCCCATCTTGTGGAATTGCTAAACATCACTTGTGAATTTAGCAATTCTATTGGAATGGAGCTGGGAACGGATAAGTGTGCGGTCCTCCATGTTGAAAGGGGAAGGGTTGCTAACTCTGAGGGCATAGACTTCTCTATGCCCGTCAACTTAAGGACACTTTCCGAGGCTGAAACATACCGATACCTGGGTATGTCACAGAACATCGGTATCGATGAGGCTGGTATGAAACAGTCAGTTTGCGACGTGCATTACGCACGCTTGACCAAAGTGCTTAACAGCCTTTTGTCCGGTGTGAATAAGACACACGCATATAACGGTTGGGTCACGCCTGTCCTCATGTATACCTTTGGCATACTCAGGTGGACCCAGACTGAACTGAACGCCCTACCCTACCTAACGCACTACCATGACGTCCCATAGGATGCATCATCCGAGATCGTCGGTAATGAGGCTGTACTTGCCGCGAAAGCATGGTGGGCGTGGCTTCCTGAGCGCGCTCACCATGCATAATCGCGAAGGGTGCAGCCCCCGTAATTACTTCCTGGATACATACATACCTGGATATATACTACATCGGATGATCCATTCTATAATGACGTCATTTCTAGTGATAAAGGGCTTACACCTCTATCCTTAGCCAACGAGCAATGGCAGGACCCAGCAGTGCTTAGCATTTCCGACCGGGAGACCGTATGGAAGGAGAAGGAGCTCCACGGGAGGTACTACAGGGCTCTACATGAGCCCTTCGTAGATACAGTCGCCTCCCTCAACTGGCTACGTTTCGGTGACCTCTTCGGGGAAAACGAGGGTTTTGTCTGTGCAATACAGGATCAAGTTATAAAGACCAACAACTATCGGAGATACATCCTAAAGGATGGCACTGTCGACATCTGTCGAGCTTGTCGCCATCCCGGGGAGTCACTTAGGCATGTCATCTTCGGTTGTTCGGCGCTTTCTTACTCTGAGTACTTGCACAGGCACAACCTAGTAGCCAGAATTCTACACCAGGAGCTCGCTCTGAAATACGGTCTCGTGGACCGAAAATTGCCATATTACAAGTACTTGCCGGAAGCCGTGCTTGAAAATGACCGCGCAAGGCTCTACTGGGATCGAACCATCATCACAGACAGGACTATTCTTGCGAATAAGCCTGATATTGTGCTGATGGACCGGGCACAGTCAAGGATATTTTTGGTCGACATTACCATTCCGTATGACGAGAACCACATGAAAGCCGAAACAGACAAGCAATCAAAATATCTGGACCTGGCTCACGAGGTGACCGACATGTGGGGTGGTCTGCCGAACGAAATTATTCATGTAGTCGTGTCTGCAAACGGGTTAATCCCAGCCAGTATCTCGGGCCATCTGAGGCGACTGGGACTCCGTGACGGACCACTCCGGGCTCAAATGCAGAAGGCGGTGCTCCTCGATACCGCCCCCATCGTCCGCCGGTTTCTTTCCCTTTCCCCCTAACCCTCGGCCGTTTGGTCTCCCCTGCCGAGGGCTTCCATCTGGTTGGGCTTTTATTTATTTATTTATGTTATTATATTAAATATATATTTAAGTATATTTATTTTTCCCTTTATATATTTATCCAGCCCAACCAGATGTGATTACTCTATTAATAACCCAAAAAATAATAATAATAAGGCGTAGGGAAGTGACGACCCCATCGCCCGCTGACGTAACGGTTATGTGACAAAACCGCTACGTCAGGGCAGTCAGTCAGCACCTTGCCAAGAGGTGTTAGTGCCGTGCCTCGGCAAAAATTGAAGGTGCAAAGGCCCGCTTGTGCACATGGCTTCACCATGAAACGGCGCCGGGTCTGGGCGTCTCCCGCTAAATGACTCCCTAAAAATGGATGATGGAATTAAATAGAACGCGCAAAGGGCCGCTGCCTGGAGGTTGCCAGGGCGCGTCTGGAGCTGGCGCTGGACGCGACAGCATGCGAACCGCCAGCCGAGCGCGAGGTGCTGCACGACCACCCAGCAGCCCCTCGCATCCATCATCCCCACCAGCTGGCTCGGTATCGGCAGGGTCTTCGCGGGCCCAGCAATCGGCACCCGCCTCTGGTGGAGTACGCCACATGCGTTGAACAACCCAGATGAACAGCAACGCATTGCGGGCGTATTTTAGGGCGAAAGGGGGAGAAACTGGAGGTTTTGCGTATCGGGCAAGGATGCATCGACTTTTTGCTGAGCTGGAGCCATCTGTAACCGTCACCGAGCAAAACCTGGCAGACCGAGTTCGGTATATCTTGCGCTCAAATACATTTGATGTCACCGAACTCGAACGGCTACGACGTGAGGCTGTTCCTTCGTCGGGTGAAAATGCTGCGGCTGAGGATGCGGCGCCACAACTTGCTGAGCAAACGGCAAAAGTGAATGCCGCCGTAAATACGCCAGTTGTGGTTGATTCAAACGATGATGGAACAGTCGCCCAGGAACTGGAACTAGAGCAAATGAGGAGTACATTGGAAGAGGCGATTGTGGAAACGCGCAGTACGCCTCTCGAAAATCGACCGCGACTTCCCCGCTTAGCCTTAAGCAAGCGGAATCGGGCTGTCGTGAGGGCTCTGAACCCAATGCTGGTTACCTATTTGGAAGCCAGCCGGGACCTTTGCGAGACGGACTCAATTCTTTTTTGGCGCCGCACTGGCAGTCTGCCGTACTATAGGCGCCAAACTTTGCACGGCTGGACGCGTTACTGGACAAAGTAGTGCTATCCCAGCCTGGAGAATAAGAATTGAAGAACGTATCGCAAAGGCTAGGGCCCTCATCGGCAGACTGATATGCTTCAGGTCAGGCAATACCAGGCCAAGGATTGTGCGCACCGTCAGGATGGCGTTTGCTGGGACAAATGTTAGTTTGTCGCAGTCGGATATAATGTAAAAACTGACGGAGCGTATAGACGACCTGAAGCAAAGAATCGCTGCTTGGGGAAAGCGGATTCGACGATATACCGAGAGGTCGACACGGTTCAACCAGAATCGTCTCTTTCAGAGTGATCAGAAGATACTCTATAAATCATTGGAGCGACCACTATTAAGTGGAACGGGCCCAGCACCAAATCAGGCCGACACGGTCGCATTATGGCGCAGCCTGTGGTCAGAGCCCGTAAACCACAACGAGGGCCCTTGGACGGAAGTTGTGGCGAGTCAGTGTGCGGGTAATACGCCCATGGACCCCGTCATCATAACGCCGGATGACGTAGCTGAGGCGGTCCGTAGGGCCCCGAACTGGAAAAGTCCGGGTCTTGACGGGCTGCATCACTACTGGCTAAAGGGGTTCATGGTGTGTCACGCTGTGCTCGCCCGACAGTTTCAAGAGGCTCTCAACCAGAAGTCGCTCCCAAGCCTCTTCACTACTGGGATCACTCATTTGGTTCCTAAAGACCTGGGTGCCACAGACCCGAGCAAATACCGGCCCATCACGTGTCTACCTAATATATACAAGACACTAACATCCATTTTGAGCGCAAGAATCGCTCGTCACCTGGACTCAAATCAGGTGATGTAGCGCGCTCAAAATGGATGTCGGGGCGGCGGTCGTGGAACCTAGGAACCACTCCTCATTGACGCGGTCATTGGCAAAGTGGTGAAACGCAACCGTCGGAACTTCTCCGCCGCCTGGATAGATTACAGAAAGGCATTTGACACGGTGCCCCATACATGGCTAAAGAGGGTCTTCGAGCTGCACAAGATTGACTGTACAGTTCGAGACTTCCTCGAGCAGTGTATGGGGCAGTGAAGTACGATTCTCTGTCATCTAAGCGAGCGGATGACGGCTGCGGAAAGCCGCATAAGGATAAGAAGGGGTATATTCCAGGGCGACTGTCTGAGCCCAATCTGGTTCTGCCTCTCTTTGAATCCTCTCAGTACTTTACAGGAGGGCTCCGGGAGGGGATTTCAGCTTCGGAAAGGAGGTACAAAAGTAACCCACCTTTTCTATATGGATGACCTCAAATTATTCACCTCCAGTCGCTCCCATCTTGTGGAATTGCTAAACATCACTTGTGAATTTAGCAATTCTATTAGAATGGAGCTGGGGACGGATAAGTGTGCGGTCCTCCATGTTGAAAGGGGAAGGGTTGCTAACTCTGAGGGCATAGACTTATCTATGCCCGTCAACTTAAGGGCCCTTTCCGAGGCTGAAACATACCGGTACCTGGGTATGTCACAGAACATCGGTATCGATGAGGCTGGTATGAAACAGTCAGTTTGCGATGTGTTTTATGCACGCTTGACCAAAGTGCTTAACAGCCTTTTTGTCCGGTGCGAATAAGACACATGCATATAACAGTTGGGTCATGCCTGTCCTCATGTATACCTTTGGCATACTCAGGTTTAGTCAGACTGAACTTAACGCCCTGGATAGAAAAGTCCGCACTACAATGACGTCCCATAGGATGCATCATCCGAGATCGTCGGTAATGAGGCTGTACTTGCCGCAAAAGCATGGTGGGCGTGGCTTCCTGAGCGCGCTCACCATGCATAATCGCAAAGTGTGTAAGCACCGTCATTACTTCCTGGAGAGATCGGATTATCCATTCTATAATGCCGTCATTTCTAGTGATAAAGGACTTACCCCTCTATCCTTAGCCAACGAGCAATGGCAAGACTCGGCAATACAGAGCATTTCCGACCGGGAGACCGTATGGAAGGAGAAGGAGCTCCACGGGAGGTACTACAGGGCTCTACATGAGCCTCACGTAGATACAGTCGCCTCCCTCAAGTGGTAGGCTACTACGTTTCGGTGACCTCTTCGGGGAAACCGAGGGTTTTGTCTGTGCAATACAGGATCAGGTTATAAAGACCAACAACTATCGGAGATACATCCTAAAGGATGGCACTGTCGACGTCTGTCGAGCTTGTCGCTATCCCGGGAAGTCACTTAGGCATTTCATCTCCGGTTGTTCGGCGCTTTCTAACTCTGAGTACTTGCACAGGCACAACCTAGTAGCCAGAATTCTACACCAGGAGCTCGCTCTGAAATACGGTCTCGTGGACCGAAAATTGCCGTATTACAAGTACTTGCCGGAAGCCGTGCTCGAAAATGACCGCGCCAGGCTCTACTGGGACCAGGCCATCATCACAGACAGGACTATTCTTGCGAATAAGTCTGATATTGTGCTGATGGACCGGGCACAGTCAAGGATATTTTTGATCGACATTACCATTCCGTATGACGAGAACCTCGTGAAAGCCGAAACAGATAAACGAACAAAATATCTGGACCTGGCTCACGAGGTGACCGACATTTGGGGTGGTATGCCGACCGAAATTATTCCTGTAGTCGTCTCTGCGAATGGGCTAATCCCAGTCAGCCTCTCGGGTCATCTGAGGCGACTGGGACTCCGTGACGGACCGCTCCGGGCTCAAATGCAGAAGGCGGTGCTCCTCGATACCGCCCGCATCGTCCGCCGGTTTCTTTCCCTTTCCCCCTAACCCTCGGCCGTTTGGTCTCCCCTGCCGAGCGCTCACATCTGGTTGGATCTTATTTATTTATGTAGTTTTTGTATTTATTTTATTTTATTGATATTTATGTATATTTATCTTTTCATTTTCATTTATAATTATATATTTATAGAACCCAACCAGATGAGAAAACTATATAGATACCCCATAATAATAATAAAATGATCCATGTCCTTTATCATACAAAATTTATTGCTTTTTACTTTCGATGGGGTGACACCACCAACTTCCGCACCGGGTGCCACCCAAGGTAGCTACGCCACTGCTCGGCGATGAAGGAAAACATCGTGAGGCAACTTGCAAGTCTGAGAAATTAAAACATTAAAATATTTCGAGGACCTGTGAAGTTCATCAACACGCATTGGGGCAGCGTGACGGACACTTCCTTGACCTATACCCATTCAGAAGTAAGAGGAGGCCTGTGCACAGCAGTGGGACATATATACTCGTATGCTGTAACTTTAACTTTTATTCAATAACATGTTAACAGCCGATGGAACTTAAGACATTGAAAAACATCATAGCTAACAACAGAGAACAATTATCGTCTTTTAATTAATCAAATTGATAGAAAAAAAGTTTATAAAAAAGAAACGATTCAAAGAAAGGATTCACGGATTGTTAAGCTTATTAGTGCTATTATAAAACTTTATAATAATCTCCTAGGTAACGAAAACGTAACAATCGTCAAAATGTGCCAGTTTTTATTGATAAAACTAATAAAGACATTATATAAATTGTTTACTACTAAAGAAAGTAGATAGCTATTCTTTAGTCATAAATTTCTCCAACACTTAAAAAGCTTCGTTAAATTACTTGCGATAAGAAGCAGTCGTAATAGGAATTTGATTTCAGCCACGGGTAAGTCGTTTCATACGGTCATTAATTCTATATCTTGCACTCTATCGCACTGTGGTGGCACCTTTTCGTATATTAAGAGACTTTTTTTAACTCACTACTTTTTATGCACCTATTAATTAGGTACAAGTGTTGGCTCTTTTTATTTGTTATTTAAGAGTAATCAATCTTAAATTTGCTACTTATTTTTTGTCGATGTCTTAAAAATGTAAGTTTTTTTACTGACTTCAAAATAAGGATGAGGCTTACAATTGTACTTTTTAGATCATTAAGAATCATCAAAACCAGTTCACAATTGACTAAAATATCGTGTAACTTACAAATAACATAAAACGTACAGTCGAATTGAAAACATTATTTTTCTGAAGTCGGCTGAAAACTCCTCGAAAATCCACAAGACCTTCCGTTGTTTTAATAACTGGTCAGACCTTGATCAAATATGCTGGTGATTTTCTTATTTATCTAATATACCGATGGGCGCAGGAGTTCGAATTCAAGGGGGAGGTATTGGCCGTTGCTTTGGACATAGTGAAGGCCTTCGATCTGGCTTGGCACAAAGTGCTTCTCTCGAGACTTCCTTCCTATGGGCTTCCCCAGAAATTTTGCAATTGGATCACCAGTTTTCTGTCTGATCGGAGCATCAAGGTCGCAGTAGACGGTGCATGCTCCAATTGTAAGGCTATTAACGCTGGTGTTTCACAAGGCTGCGTGCTATCACCAAAGCTGTTTCTCCAGCACTTCAATGATATGTTGCAAACCAGTAACATTTATTGCTATGCGGACGATAGCACTCGCGATGCTTTATACACCGGCCGGGCCAATATTTCTCGGGAATATGTCGTCGAGTACCGGAGCAAACTTGGGTCTGAAGTCGAGATATTGTTGAACAAAGTCTCGGATTGGGGGCGATTAAATCTAGTCCAATTCAATCCCCAGAAGGCACAAGTTTGCGCATTTACCGCTAAAAAGAACCCCTTTGTCGTATCTTCACAGTTTCAAAGCACTCATCTTGTTTCCTCAGCCAGTATCGGAATCCTTGGCGTCGACATATCGAAGGATGTGTAGTTTTGTGGTCACCTGGAAGAGAAAGCCGAATTGGCCTCTAAAAAGTTTGGCGTGCTCAACAGAGGGGGACAGTATTTCATGCTGTTTTCAACTTTGCAAGGTGAATTCACCCTCACATGGAGCTTAACTGTTCTCATCTCTGGACCGTTGCACCCCAGTGTCAACTAATTGCACTTGAACGCATCCAGCGATGAGCGGCTTAAATCTTCGACGACCGAATTCTTTTTGATCGGTTTGATTCACTGGCGGATGTTGCATTCCATTGCATTTTCTATCGCTTTCTCATGTGACTCTCTAGACTCCTAGACAGTAGAAAGTAT